CCGCATATGCTACCCCCATCTGCTACTGCTTTCTGACAATGTCTCTGATGAGGAAGCCGCAAAGGATCTCGAAACTTCAGGCAAATAATAGTATTGTCCCAGCGATCGAGTCTTCCTCTTCCTCTGAATTACTTCTTGGGACTCGTATTTTCATTTGTATTGGCAATTTATTTGATGGATTATCGTCGGCTCATTCCACATATAGCTTCACAACTAGATAGGTGGCCCGAGCTTGGCAACATCGCAGGGAACAATGTGCTTTGGTGTAGAAGATTACCATCTAATAATTGCACTCAGTCAGCCGAATGTCTGTTTTTTGTGGAGTGGGCGATTGGGTGTGTGAATGTACGACAGCAATGGCTGCATCTTAATTTGGCATTTATGGCACCCCCACGAAGTGGAATCTGGGTCAGATGTGGCGACACGCTAAAGGACGCCCCGGATAACTGCGCCCTCTCCCGTATTCCGTCTTCCAAACTTGGCTGGGATGCCGGACCCAGACTGGAGAGGAGAAGAGACTGCGATATATGTCGAGCAGGTTCACTCTCACTGTAATCTACTCCACGTGCAACTCATCGAGCTTGGTTTGAGCCTTCAGTGATGCATGTGGTGGCCATCGTCGAAACGAACGATCGAAGTTTTGGGGATGGCAAATATGATAAATATTTTGAAAAGATTATTTCTTTAAGTTGCATTGGCTTCTTTGTTTCCAGAAAAACATGCGACTTATCTTATCTGCATTTACTTGATTTTTAGTAGCATCTTCCTTGTTCTACTAACTAGTGTAGGAAATTGTTGCATATACAGTAGGTGGGCTAAATCATGAAATCCAAGGATTTTTTTGTAAAAACCCTGTTACGCAAACGCAGCTCACGTTGCACCCCCCAAAGTCTTTCGGCAGTAAAGTAATGGCCGTTCTTCAAAATAAGGTACATTGCAGTTTATCAAGTAGAATTAAGTTGTTTAGAAATACTAGTCTTTTTAGAAAATCGGATATTTCTAAAAGCTATCAAAAAAGGCTTAAATTTACAGAATGCCAGTTTAAGATTTACCCGTCACCCGGATGTTAACCTCATACTTAAACTCAAACCAAGCCCTCACTTATTTGGATTTTAGCGCATATTCACATGTTTTGCGGGCATTTCCTGTTCTCAAGTCTTGGTTAGGGGACCATAAGAGCAGTTCTTACCGTTATTGGGCCAGAAAAGTTTGAGTTGCCTGCAAAAACAGCTAGAGATAATATTTGACTTCCACCACTCACGAAATGCCTACAAGTAAATGAGGTGTGCGTATGCAGGAGTCATGCCTCGCCACGACAAGTGGAAACGCAGATGTCTAGAACCTCACTCTGATTCTTCTCACAGCGAATCGAAGTATCAATTCACCCTCCAAAAAATGCGGAACAACATAAGGCCTAATTAAAGGCATGTGACTACTTGCTTGGCAGTCACAGGTAGTCATCGCTGGTTTGAGTGCTGGCTTGGGCTTTAGCACAGGTGAACCAATCCGCGTGATCGACCCAGCTGTAAACGTACCCTGACAGCTCGCCTCTCTTGACAAAGGTTGGACTCTGTCTGCGCACCTTGCAGCTACCGGAACGTATAGGATAGACAGGAAGCAGTCTTGCATCTCGTTCCCCGAAGAGTCATGTGACTCAGCTCGTCACTTAAGGTATAAAATGTACTACCTGAGCTGGCTTCTCTGTCCTTCAGACTATAGTCCTGCTTTTCTTCGTCTGTTCTCGGAACCGCACTTCAAACAGTGGGATTAACGCTCAATCCCTCCCGATCCACAGAAGATTGCTGCAACTTTTCACGCAACCTCAACGGTCCGCCTTTAATCCCACGGTCATTAATCAGCAGCCAGTCTAAGATCCGTCTTTGTACGCTGCCACTGATTCAGAGACCAGCTTGAGATCCAGATCATCGACCCAAGTGTCAACACCGGCACAGTCGTCACGGTGAGAGTCGCAACCTAGGAGCACCAGCCTGACGACGGGGCAAATTACAGTTCACCTCTCCAAACACGTAGACCACTACGAAACCAGAAACCGTTATCTGACTCTGTTCTTCACGCACCGAGATGGGATCAGGACACTCCAAGCCAAGGAAACAGCATCATCGACACCACCGCAAGAAGTCGACGACTGCAGTTGCACCGCCGCCGTCACATCCTGAAACAACAACACCAGACGCTGCGCAGATTAACGTAGGTCCAGACTCCTCGACTCAGACACATATCCAGCCACCATCACCAGTAGTACCGCCATCCCAGCCCACTCCG